AATTGTTTTATTTTTATTTTTTAGTTGTAGATGGACACAGTATCTTTATTTATTTATTTTTATGTGGTACTGAGGATCGAACCCAGGGTCTCACACCTGCAAAGCAAGTACTCTACCACTGAGCTACAGCTCCAGCCCCTACATTGTTTTTCATATCATGTAACTTTTTCTTAGCAAGTTCAGCTAGTTTTGAAATGTTATATTGTAGTTTTCATTAATTTTTGTGGGCATATCTTTCTGGTATGTTTTAATTATGTAAAAATATTATTCTTATGCTCAATTTTACATGAAATTAGCTTCTGAACTTTTGTATGGAGGCTCAGTTTCAGGAATTGTTTTTAATTTCATGACTATCAAACTCCATATATTATTGCTTTTGAGAATTGTTGTGGCAAACAGTTACTTCTGAAATGTGAATGCCTTCTGAAATCTCCTTGCTCTGCTTCTTGACTCCTGTACTTTTTTCTTTCTCTCTAAAATCTTTTTAAACTTTTCATCATTTCTTCTCTTCCTCATCCATTTTTCCTTCCTCCCTCCCTAAGCCTGCTGCCTTTTGTGTCTTATCCACAATTATCATAGTTTCCATTCCTCTTGTCCCAGTCCTGTCCAGTTTGGAGTCTGTTTCCACTCTTTTCTTGTCAGAGTGCAGCTTTGCCTTGCAAGGGAACATTGGATGATTAGTTTTAAGAGTTCATGGGGGGGGGGGCTGGGGATGTGGCTCAAGCGGTAGCGCGCTCGCCTGGCATGTGTGCGGCCCGGGTTCGATCCTCAGCACCACATACAAACAAAGATGTTGTGTCTGTCAAAAAAAAATAAATATTAAAATATTTTAAAAAAAAAGAGTTCATGGGGGCTCAGGCTGTTCCCATTCTACACCATGGACTTCCGCTCAACCACTATTTGAAGGGGCAGACCCCTTCCTTTCATTTTCAGCTCTTGTTCATAAATTAGTTCACTGATGTCTCTGAATTATTTCAGAGTTCTCGGATCTCTCAGAGGCTATGTTGATTCCCTCTGTGTACTCTTCCATAGCTGATACCATTTGGTCTGGTATGCCCCCACCCTCTCTTATTTGGAGTACAAGGAGAAGTTGTTTTCATGTAGTTTAGCTGTAGATTGTGTCAGTGAATTTTGGTTTTGCTTTCCTATTTACCCTACTTATCTTTCCTATTTGTGTTTTTGGTACTGGGGATTGAACCCAGGGATGCTTAACCACTGAGCCACATCCTCAGCCCTTTTTATTTTTTATTTTGAGACAGGGTCTCACTAAGTTGCTTAGAGCCTCACTGAGTTGCTGAGTCTGCCTTCAAACTTGCAGTCCCTGCCTTGGCCTCTTGAGCTTCTGGGATTACAGGTGTATGCCACCATGCCCAGCTCTGTTTGTGTTTTTTATGGCAGCATTTTGAGACATTAAAAAACTAGGCTGTCACCACTACCTTCCCCTAAGAATTTCTCTGCAAACTACAGATCATTGGCCGAAACCTGTCACCTGCTACCTGTTTTCGTACAGTTTTTGACCTAACATGGTTTTTGGTAGTGTTTCATCTTTTTATGTGTATGTGTCATGTTGGAGATCAAATCCAGGACCTCACACATACTAGGCAAAAGTACTTTAACAATGAGTTATACATGTATCCCACCAGCCCTACTTTAAATTCTTTGATTGGTATTGACAGATTATCATCCCGAGAGGTATACAAGTTAAATATCCAGTAAGGATACCAGTTAGATAAGTTATGGTGCAATTTATGCAATGAAATATTATACACAGGTTAAAGAAAAGGAGGTTGATCTATTTTACTGATATATAAAAATATATGACATGCTGTTAATGAAACACCTGGGTTTCAAATGTAGAGTAGTATTTCTTCATGTTAAGGAAACAAAAGCATTAGAATACACAAAATTATTTTTTTCACAAGAAGCATAGATTACAACTAAGATACGCTAATTTATATATTTATCAGTAGTATATCCAAATGATTGTTTGACCATACTATTGCCAACATTGTGTTATCTAATTTAAAAAAATTATTGTCAAGCTGATAGAGGAGAAAAAGGCATCTTATCTTAGTATTATGTAATAGGCTTCATATTTTTGCATAAGCTTGAATTACAACTCTTTTGTGAAATTATTGTTCCTTGTCCTTTTTCCCTGTGTGATATTTTTTTTCTTGAAGGTTCAAAAAGTTCTTAATATATTAGATAGTAATCCTTTGGCTTGTCATCTACGTTTGCCTCTTTATTTCATGTAGGGTGATTAATTATGTAAAAAAGATTGTTTTGTTTTGCTCAGTAATCCCAGTGACCCAGGAGGCTGAGGCTGGAGGATTACAAGTTGGAGGCCAGCCTTAGCAACTTAGCAACACTGTGTCTCAAAATAAAAAATAAAAGGAGCTAGAGATGTAGCTCAGTGTTAGAGTATTCGTGTGTTCAATCCTCAATGCAAAAAAAAAAAAAAAAGAATTTTTTCCCTGCAGTAAAATCTTTCTTTTCCATGATGATGATGATGATGATGATTACAATGTTGATGTGTAGAAAGCCCTTTCCACTTCAGATTTATCTACTGTTCCCCTGTATACTTTTGTAGTACTTACTTGATTTTTTTTTTACTTTTAGTTCTTTAATCCATCAGGAATTTATTTGAGTAGTCTATGAGATAGGGTTTAACTTTGTTTTGCAAATGTTTAGCCAGTTGTCTTAATGCCATTTATTGAATAAGTCATTATTTCAAGTTTATATAATTTTTGAGATAGCTTTTATGAGAAGTATGCACATTTCAAATTTTTAAAACATAAGGTTTGTTGGTATGTAATTTACAAACGATAAAATTTATTCTTTTTAAGTGTTCAATGAGAAGAGTCTTAGCAAACATATATGGAATATTTCTCATTCCCCCAAGTTTCCTTGTGCCTCTTTGCAGTTAATCCTCCTGACCTTAGACTCTTGCAACAGTTGATCTGTTTTCTGACCCTACAGTTCTGCCATTTCCAGAATGTCATATAAATAGAACCATATAATACATAGCTTTTTGAGTCTGGTGTCTTTCACTTAGCATAATATACTTAAGATATAGCAAAATTGTTGCATACATCAATATTTCATTTTTTTAAAAGATAAGTGAGAAATGACCTTATTTATTTATTTTTTTATGTGGTGCTGAGGATCGAACCCAGTGCCTCACACATAGTAGGCAAGCATTCTACCACTGAGCCACTTTATTGCTAAACAGTAAATGGTTATACCATTGTTTATTTAGCCATTGAATTGTTCAGGGACATCAGGGTTTTGTTATTTGGGGCCATTATGAATAAAGCTGATAGAAACATTCATGTCTTTGTGTGGGCATGTTTTCATTTCTTCTGGATAAATATCTAGGAGTGGGATTTCAGGGTCATATGGTAAGTATATATTTAGTTCTTAAAGAAATTTTTAGCCTGTTTTCCAGAGTGACTGGATGCTTTTACACTTCAGCGAACAATAATGTGAAAGATCCAGTTACTCTGCATCCTCAGCAGCACTTGGAATTGTCAGTATTTTAACTAGTTATTCTACTAAGTTTTCAAGATTAAATTGTTTATTTAGAATAATTTAGATATATTTTTTGATACCAGGGATTGAACTCAGGGCCACTCAACCACTGAGCCACAACCCCAGCCCTATTTTGTATTTTATTTAGAGTCAGGGTCTTGCTGAGTTTTTTAGTGCCTCGCTAAGTTGCTGAGGCTGGCTTTGAACTAACAATCCTCCTGCCTCAGCTTCCCAAGCTGCAAGAATAATTTGGATATTTTAAGTTGTGTTTCCCAACTCATTTTTATACACTTTCTAAGACTGGATACTCCTAAATTGCTCCATCCATCTCTAATTGTCTAACCTGAGGCTGCCTAATAATCATAGTTGCTCACTTCTGGTTTTTTGTTGTTGTCGTTGTTGTTTTTTAAAATTCCATTTCTTCCCCCAAACTTAAAAACTATAGCATATCAAAGTAGAAAAAGAGCTTAGATATAATCTAGTACAAGGTTTGGCAAGCTTTTTCTGTAAAGGGCCAGATAGTAAATATTTTTGGCTTTGCAAGCCATTAAGCCATTTCAGTCTTTCTTACAACTCTACTAGTACAACATAAAAGAAGTCACAGGCAGTACAGAAAAAATTGGGCATTTTCCAAATAAAACTTTACTTATAAAAACAGGCAGCTAGCCAGATTGGCCTGGATTATAGTTTTCCCACCCCTGGTTTAGTCTTAACAACTTTATTTCACATTCGAGAGTACTGAGCTCATATTTCTTCCTTTCCTCAGATTTATAAAGAGGCAAGCACCAAGATATTGGCTTTCACCATAATGATGTAGATAAAGCCATTAATCAAAGAGGCTTTCTAAAGTTTTAATTGAGCTAAGACTTTTGAGACAGCCTGATGTATTGCCATTCACTGAGATGTTAACTTAAAAATATTTTTTTAGTTGTAGTTGGACACAATACCTTTATTTTATTTTATTTATATTATTTTTATGTGGTGCTGAAGATCGCACCCAATGTCTCTCATGTGCTAGGCGAGCATTCTACCACTGAGCCATAACCCCAGCCAAAGATGTTAACTTTTTGAGCCTGTCATATCTCTGGAGCAATGGTAAAATTAAAAAAAAAAAAAAGGTGATAAAGGTCCAAGTGAAACAGTTTAAGTAAGAAAAGCATGCACCATTTTATTCATTCTCAAAAGACTGTTTCCAATTTGGAAAGATCCACATTTCTTTGTCTCTTGAGACAGCAATTGAATATGATGTAACAATCCCATGCTTTTCCCATCTTTAATGTTAGTTGATTGGTTTTTTTTCACTAATTGTTTAAATAGATGAATATTCTTAGGTTGACAAACAAAAACAAGGAAAACATTATACTCATGGTTCCTTGCACGCAAACCTAAAAATAGGCATTGGCTATGACTACTCAGGGAAAGGACATTGTTTAGAAAAGTCATCCTGTTTGTTTTTTCCTTCCTTGCAGCATTGGAAGAAGTATGACATCTATGAGAAGCAATCCAAAGAAGAAACTGACTCTGTAGTGCTGATTGAAAACCTGAAGAAAGCTCCTCAGTGATGGGGATAATTTATTTTTACCTTCAATGTGACCTTGTGAGGATTCATCACATTCTCCCTTTCTTATTTGGGGACTTGCTAAATGGAAACTGAAACTACTGGATCCTTTAAAAACAGGCAGCTCATAAGAGCCACAGGTCTTTGTGTGTGTCATGCACCGAAAAACTAAAAATAATAGGCCCTTTGGAGAAAAGAATGGAGTCATTGAATGATAAAAGCAGACATCCTTTGCAAAGTCTTCAAACTAGGGGACAAAGCAAAAAGTCATGATGGCAGTAGAATTAACCTTATGAAGAGTTGTGACAACTTCCTAAGGATCTAGCTTGCCTTGTATTTTTTTTTGTGTCAGATAACCCTGAGAAATTTTATTTGTGAGGGAACTCATTTTGGGTATAAGTGCTAATAATGTTGAACTTGACTCACAGAGAACAGCTAACAAACAAAATCGTTACAATCTGGCATCTGTTTTTTTTTTTTTTTTTTGAGATCCCATTGAGTAATGTTTGTGACTATTAAAACTCCTAACAGTCTAGAATCATCATCCACTTCAATAGCATTTCCCTCTACTTTGAAAACCCCAGAAAGGAGTGTTGGCCATGATGATGACAATGACAAAAAAGTAGACGCGACTTCTTTACCAAGATCATTCAGGCTTTTAAGGGCAGTGGAGGCAGAATGACCCATGGCATATTAGTCTGAACCAAGAAGTCTCTTATGATGTATTTTTTCTTTACTTCTGCTGCCCAAATCGAGTATTAACTATGCCTCTAGCTTAGCTGTGAGGGATGTACCCCCCAATAAGTTTACAATCTAGTTGGGAATCCTTAGTTTTTGCCACTTTCTTTATCTCCCACCAGTCATTTCTGAGACTTTTCAATTCCCCAGCTCCCAGGCCAATTTCCCTTTTTCCTTCTCCCTCATTCCCTTCCTTGTAGCCTTTTGATGTTCATTGGAAATTTGGATATACATCTGCTCGAAACACCTAGAGGAGAAGGGAACAATTTGAATCTCAGGTGCAGTGTGAGTTGACTGAGAAATAATGAGTAGTTCTTATATATTTTGTAAATTTTATGTGAGTTTGCAGTTTGAGGATTTTCAGCATTTGATGTTTATGCATTTTCTAAACAGAGATGAGATAGTATTTTCACTTAGAACTTGGCTTGAGAAAAACATAGTTATATCTGTCTCTGTTTCTTTACAAGATGGACCCTAGGATTTCTTTTCCCTGACACAAATAATAAAGTAGAATTTGTGTGCTGTATTGATAGCCAGCCATCCAAGGCTTCAATGTATATACTCACTTTTTTTTTTTTTTTTTTTGCGTATGTTAGGGTTCCATTTCCCCCCATTCCCACAACATATGCATATGTACTCTTCCTACTTCCTCCAAATTTGAAGAATTTTGGGAAATGATAGATATTCCTCTGTTTTCTCTCAAACATACAGACTCAGATTATTGGTAGGAACTTATGAACTTTATATCACAAATTCCCCAAACATTTGCCATTTCGTGTTAATAAGACGAAGCTTTTTGGGATTCCTGCTCTTAGGGCAGGGACATAAAAGACCCCTTCTCTCCACAGGTTTGGGCAAAAGTAGCAATCTGTGTCCATGGTAGTGGAGGAGAACTGTGCCCTGGCATCTTTCAGGAAACTGGGGTACATAGCACTGGTAGATATGAAGGTGTTTCCTCCCTATGATTTTGTTTTGGAATTCAGATTGATGCTGGGACACAGGTATGGTAGATCATTCACTTTCTCCTACTATACACTAGAAAGAATATTTGGTGTTGTCATATATGAATGAGATGACTTCCTAGCTAGGTCTTTGTAATTCAGGGATGCAAAACACTTAAATGCCTCACCCAAAGCCTACTTTACTGGTAGCCTATTTTGATGGCAATGAGGAGGATGCCTTGAAATAACCAAAGAACTACTGGTGCTGATAGTCATGCAGCCTGGGAGTGGGGAAAATGTATTTTGTTTCCATCCTTCCCTGTTAACAGTAAAATAGTTGAGGCAGGAGGGGACACTAAATTATGGGAACACCTAGAGTTTTGCAGTGGCTAAATAATGATCCCTAGATCTTAGGAGCTCTTGGAGACATCAGTATTTCACCAGCAGGAAACTAGTAGGTTCATTTACTATTTTGTCTCACCTCTATGGATTTTTTTCCCTATAGACAGACCTAAGTAAACTCATTGTTAAGATGGTCATTTGCCTTCTTTCATTCAGATAAGTTTTTTTTTTTTTCTGTATCTGGGCACTAAACGGATACATGAACCATTGTTAACATTTTGGGTAATATCTTCAACTAGAAGTCATTTTTGTTTAACCTCTTATAGGAAAATTTGAGTAAAATAAATATTCATTGTCTTTTTGTATATTAATTAAATGTTTTCCTTTGGTTTTATTTTGGGGAAAGCATTGTGAGGCGTTGGTGAAGGAAAAAAATTGGAGTTAAAAGAATAAATATTGTAAAAAAATTCCAAGGAAGCTATTTTATAATCATTTATCATAAGCTTCCTTGCTGTTTTGCTGTGCCAATGTTTTCTAATATAAGGACATGCATGTACTTAGTTTAATATTAGTACAGTCTTTGGGGCTGGGTTTGTGGCTCAGTGGTTGAGCGCTAGCCTCATGTGTGAGGCACTGGGTTTGATCCTCACCACCATTTATTTATAAAATAAATAAAACAAAGATATAAAAAACATAATATTAGTACAATCTTTGCACATAACACCTAAAATGACTTACATATTTGATAAATTTTAGTTATAATAATTAATGGAAGTGAGAAGTTAGTTCTTTCTAATGTTCAACTTAGATTAGATTGCAGTATGCTTACTATTGTGGTATCCATGGCATACACAGTATACAAGACTCATGGTATGTGATGGGACACTTCTAGTTAACAATCAAGTTAGCAAGATACATTTGAGACTGAGAAAATTAGTTTTCAATAGCTGTCTTCTTAAGAGACAGTGATATAGTTTTGTATTTTCCATAACTACAACAACATGTTTGTTAATTACCCTGAATCTCTACAGGATCCAAATTCTAGAATAAGGGTGGGGGTGCTGATCCTAGTAAGGTTATTTCTGTAAGTGTCCAGAAGATTCTGGAAATCCATTTCCAGGTAAGTATGATTATCTGCTTAAATCAAAGGCCTCTAATTCTTAACAATCTACACTGAGTTTTATGATACAAAGCATTTAACTGGGAACACTTGAAGTTGTAAATCTGTATGGGATCCATGGAAAACTAATTCCTGTAGCTACAAACATGTTCACTTCATCTCAGGGAAGAAGGGCCAGAATAACCTACGCACATTTGCTTTCCAGAGTGATTTACCATTTTGTCATTACCATGAACTCCTGCTCCTTTAGAAATGCAACTTTATGCTCACACAAATAGCACATTATGCTACTGGGATACTGTAGTTTTATCTATCTGTCTGTCTCTTTTTGCAGTACTAGGGATTGAATCCAGGGATACTCTACTACTGAACTACATTGCCAGCCCTTGTTAAATTTTATTTTGACACAGAGTCTTGCTTAATTGCTGAGACTGGCCTCATACTTGCAATCCTCCTGCCCCAGCCTCCTGAGTAGCAGGGATAGCAGGTCTGTGCCACTACCATGCCTGGCTATATGTTAATAGTTTTAGAAGAAACCAAAGGATGGAAGATATCTGGGGATGTAGCTCAATGGTAGAGCACTTGCCTAGCATGAGCAAGGTCCTGGGTTCAATGCCCAGCACTGGGGGGAGGGGGGGAAGCAAGGAAACAAAAACATTGATTTCAGAACTCAATCGTCTTTCAAACCCTAATGATTTGGCCAAGCAATGATTTTTTTTTTTTTTTTTGTAAATACTGTAAATCTTGATATGCTTTTACTTTAAGCAAGGGAGGAGTTGTATTGACATTTGGACATGGTAGATATTTTTGACCTCAATCCCCAAGATGATTTCTTACTGAAGCTGCTTTAGCCTTTAAATGCCTTTCCCATTGATCACATTTTTAGTTTACCATTAGCAACAGGAAAATATTTCACTGCAGTTTTCAACATGTATTAGGTCGAGTATCATATGCAAAGAGAAAATCAAGTTATCATGGGGCTACCATGTACCAAGGTACATGTGTTATTTCAATTATTCCCTATGTCATGCAATAAATTGCATTATCTTCATTTTACAGACAGATATAAAATTATTAAGTTATATTGCAAAAATCACACACCTAGTAATTGACTGAGACAAAACTGGAAAACGAGTCAGCCTAAATTTAAAACATGTATAATGTATTTAGTCATGTATTTATTTGTCCCAATGCAGCAGCTATTGAAAAAAAGAAATGTCTTTTATCACATTGTTGTCAAATGGTTTATCAACTGGAAGACTCAAAATTTAAATCATTTAATTGTAAAGTGAGCTTTTTACAATGTCTTAAGATTTATTTGTGTCTTCATTCATCTATGTGCCAGGCAGAGTGCTGGCTAAAAGGGATTTAGTAGTGAGTACGTTTTGGCTTAGTATCAAGATGTATTATATTAGTCAAGGAGAGGCTCTTTTGTATAGGAGAAAGAAATCAGGATTCAAATCTAATAGTTCCAAAGGACTAAAGAGACACTTTTCAGAAGAAGAAATACAAATGGCCAATAAATATATAAAACAAAGTTCAGCATCTCTAGCAATCAGGGAAATGAAATTAACAGCTACAATGAGATTTCATCTCATTGCTGTCAGAATGGCAATTATAAGGAATACAAACAATAATAAATGCTGGCAAAAATGTGGGAAAAAGGCGCTCATACATTGTTGGATCTGCAAATTAGTACAACCACTCTGGAAAACAGTATGGTGATTCCTCAAAAAACTAGGAATGTAACCACTATGACCCAGCTATCCCACTTCCCAGCATATATTCAGGAGAACTAAAATTAGCATGCTGAAGCAACACAGTCATACAATATCCAAGTCATGGAACCAGCCCAGATGCCATCAACAGGTGAATGGATAAAGAAATGTGGTACACACATATACACACACATACATACATTATATATATATATATATATATATATATA